TCTAAAACTAATTTACTAATTTATTTACATATTTATATCATATTTATAACATTTTTAGATTTATAAATTCAGCAAAAAATGTAACGAAATCTTCAACCACTGTGCAGTTTAGATGAGTAGGATTAGGATTAGGAGGACATTAATGAAGTTGGCACTTGAGCTGATCATTCAAGGATGAGTGAGAAAAGGAGGAAAGAGAGTCCACAGTTTAGCATATATATGAACAGAGACTGTCCTTTGAACTTTAGTGTAAGGGTGGGGATAGGAAAGGGACATAGGTGATATAGGCCCTTTGGAACTGGTGCCTAGGGGGCTTGAGAATTGAACTGAGAAATAAACGGGAACCATTGAAGGCAAGTGAACACAGGAGTAAGATACTTTATTTACCAAGTTTTGCCTGTACCAATATTTAAATGGATTAGAAGAATGAAAAACAAGATGGAAATTCCAGCCTGAAGATGAGCTGCATTAGGGCAGGTACTCTGTTCCTGCTGTATTGCTGGGAACCACAGACGTGGTTGTCACTGAGTTTGTGTTGAATGAATGTACGGTGCCTAATGAATGGCAGGGGGATATCCAGTCAGAAGCATCTAGAAAATCAAGTCCTGAATAGGTGTGCAGAATAGAAGTTAGCAGATGGTAGCTTGCATTTGGGAATTGTCTATAGCTCAGTGAATCCATCCTTGAGAAATATATAAGTTTGTAAAGAAGAGACGAAGAACAAAGGCTAAGAGTGGAGTCTTGGTTGACTCCTACAGTTACAGCAGATGTAAAAGGGAAAGGAGAGATTAGGATGGTGAATCTGGAGAATATATTGGCTTAGAAGCCAAAGGAGCAGAGAGGAGGGTTATGCATTGTGCATTTTGTGCTAATATTTATTTTGGATTTTGAAATTAATTTTTAAAATATTTAATTTTTAACAGATTCAGTACAGTTCGTAGATACGGCTCTCTCCCTTTCCCCCTTTCTTTTTCTGTTTCTTTTTGTTTTTGAAATAACATTTTAAATTTATGTTGCAATAAGAAGATGTAATGCTTTACCAAATAAGAAGTTTAGCAAGTTAAAGGGAGAAAGACCCTAGTTTAATGGTAATATAGAGCAGCTATAAACAATAATTGAGTGAAAAAACAGACTGACTTTGAAGGTTTCTGGAAGTTTAGTTGTCCTGGTGTTAAAAGTTATTTTAATGAGTATGTCAGGCTTGAAGGGATCAGTCATACCAGACAAGTAAAGGATCTTCTGGAAACATTCTAGTTGGGAAATTTAAGGATGGTGTTCACATTTGGTATTTCGCGCAGTCTTTTTAGACTTCTTGTTACTACATCATTGAGCTGAATATACACATTTTAGTATGTTATACATAGCAGTTAAGCAAAAGAATAATTATATCACAGAAAGCTGTTTATGAATTCATTTAATGTAGTATCTCTGTTAGTGGCCATCCCACAGATACTTTTAAATGATTATAATAAGTTTTCTTTCCATGAAGTTTTTGTGAAACTTATTTTGCCTCAAGCAAGCACACAGTTAAACTGTTTAAAAAAAAAAAGACCAATGCTCAAAAGCAGGCATTGGTTTCCTACTACTCTATGGCTTTGAAAATCATTCTGAGTCATCTTGCTGGAGGATTTGCTACAGTAGGATTTACCATTAAATTTTCATTTTGATTAACTTGACTGCAGTTGTTTCTTGGCTGCCTCTTTAGAGCCCACTGTGGAATAAAATTAAAACAGTTTTTATGATATAACAGTTTAGTTGCAGAAAATGGCATCCTTGTTTTTTCCCTGAATGACAGTGTGTTACTTCTGAATTTCCTGTATCAGCCCCCTGGCTCTGGTTCCTCCCTCCTCAGATCCATCTTCGGTAGTACCACCAGATTCATTTTCCCAGAGCAGAGCTTCCATCGTTCTCTTATCCATAACTCTTCTATGACTCCCCATCGCCTCTCTCATCTAAGCCCAACTCATTCTTCAAAGAAGGAACAACCCAAATAATGAATTTTCCCCTTGGCCATTTTTCTGGATCTTCTCTGCTGAAGTCCCGCTCTCTCTACTCTAAATTTCTTGTCCTTGCAAAGCGCTATTCCCATCCTATCTTACATAAAATTGCATATGATCAGATCTTGCCAATGAGAATGGTAAGTTCAGTGCACAAAGCAGGTCTTCCTTATATTTTTGCCTATTCCTCCACTGCCCGCCTGTCAAAGATACTTAATAAATGCTTGTTGGAGAAATGAATAAGGAATATTTTTAAATAGCAAATATGCAGTAAACCAGTGGATAGAAGACCTCTTTCTCTCTCTCTGCCTCTGCCTCACTTTAACTCTGCCTTTCAAATAAATAAATATTTTTTAAAAAAGCAAATATGCAGTCTGCCCTATCTCTCCTGTTACTTCTGATCCTCTTACTCTTTATTTTTTTGTTGTTTTTTGCTTAGCATCTCTGACCCTTTAATTAATCAATAACCTAATCATACATTTTTGCTGTTAGTATTGCTGGTCTCCTCTCTCGTGGAGAGTGTTTTGATCGCTGATGGATCCCTACTGCTCAGAACAGTGCTTGTCTTATTGGTTGAATGAATGTTGACATTTGAAGCTAAAGGTCAGATTTCCCCTGTTTCTTGGAAATTGTCAGAGGTTTTCAAGGTCAGGGGCTCTGTGGTGTTAGAAGGGCAAGGAGAGATGTAGAAAAACCCCTGTGGCCAGTGCTGTGGCACAGCGGGTTAATGCCCTGGCTGAAGCACTGGCATCCCATATGGGTACCGGTTCACATCCCAGCTGCTCCACTTCTGATCCGGCTCTCTGCTGTGGCCTGGGAAAGCAGTACAAGATGGCCCAAGTCCTTGGGCCCCTGCACCCTTGTGGGAGACCCGGAAGAAGCTCCTGGCTCCTGGCTTTGGATCGGCCATTGCAACCAATTGGGGAGTGAACCACTTGATGGAAGACCTCTCTCTCTGCCTCTCCTCTCTCTGTGTAACTCTGACTTTCAAATAAATAAATAAATATTAAAAAGAAAGAAAGAAAGACCCCTAAGCTGGTTTCAGCTGTTTTCCACCTGTGCAGCTTTGGGCAAGTTTCTTGCCAAACCAGTTGAAGGGTAATATGACCTAAATTACAATGTTTGTGTAAGTATTAAATTTTAGGAAGAAGAGCATACGAGAAAATTAATACTGATGTTTCCTGATCACTTCTAATATGCCAGACTTGGTGCTCTGTTCAGTGTCACTGTACGTGTCTTCACATCCAGACTGTGAGGCAGGGACTCTCTCACCCCATGTTAGAGATGAAGATTCCTGCCCAAGACCACATAGTGCTGGGGGCAGAGCATTGACTGGGACCAGGTCTGCTGGATTCTGAATGCTCGTAACTCCTCTGCCTACGGTGTGCCTGCCAGTCCTCTAGATGAGGCTCTCCACAGGGGGCTGTGTGATTTCTCCTTTGGAGCACTGGTTCCAGATCTTTCCTGCCCTAACATGATCGAAGGATGCAAAGTGCACATGAGTGCCAGTGGCCTCTAGGAGGTGTCTTTATGAAAAAGCCTGGTCTGAAAGGCAGGGGAGTCTGGTTCGAAAGATTGTTCCTGGTGCATTGGATCGTCTCCTTCTTGCTAATGTCTCTTCACTTGTAGGTCTGTCTCTTTTTTTTTCCTTTTTCTCCCCAAAGATAAAGCTTTTAACTTTTGTATTTTTCACCAAAAAGATCAAGTGTATCCGCATTTAGACTGTTTTAAAGATTGTTGCATTGTTGGCTTGGAAACAAATTAAATGGTTTATATTTGGGATAATCAAGGTGATCATTACAGGCTCCTGTATTTGTTGAAAAGACAGTGAAACTTTTAAGAATTTATGAGAGATCTATAAATGCCATTTCTAAACACACATTTAAATCACTAACTCTGAATTGAATTCAGGAATTAGCCTTTTCTGGTATTTTCTTTGAGCTTTTAAAATTTCTAATCCAGGAATAATGGAATAGATGATGTCAGCATCTAAAAAAACCTCTTTTACATTCAGGGAATGGATTTCTCTTGAAATAGTTTGTCATCAGTTCAAATGCTAAAAAGGTACTTCAGAAAATATTAAAATGAAAAATAATTGTATGCTGTGGTGCTTCATTATATTTAATGGATTGGAAGGCTTGGTAGGAAGCCAGAGAGAACTGGCAAACATATAAAATTTAAAAATACATAGGCATATGATTTCAAGTACTCTTTCAACATAAGTAAGTTTATTATTAATTTTTGATAGGTTTGTTGAAGTGATTAAGAGCATAATCTTTGGATTTGTTGTGACCTTGGTTTGAATTCCCACTTTGCAGTAACATTGGAACCTTAATTTTTCTCACTTGTAAAGAATGAGCAATACTTCGTAACATTAACATATTGTGTGAAATAGTGCATGCAGAACACCTCAATAATGCCTAAGGCATTGTAAGCACTTTTTTTTTTTTTTTTGACAGGCAGAGTGGACAGAGAGAGAGAGAGACAGGGAGAAAGATCTTCCTTTATTGTTGGTTCACCCTCCAATGGCCGCCATGGCCAGCGCACTGTGGCCGGCACACCGCGCTGATCCGAAGCCAGGAGCCAGGTGCTTCTCCTGGTCTCCCATGGGGTGCATGCCTTCCCGGGCCATAGCAGAGAGCTGGCCTGGAAGAGGGGCAACTGGGACAGAATCCGGATCCCCGCAGGCAGAGGATGAGTCTATTGAGCCGCGGGGCCGGCCGTAAGCACTTTTTAACTGTTTGTTTATACTGTCACTGAAATATAATGTTTGAGGTATAACAAGATACTTGAATATATCTTTGCCAGATAAGCAGAAAACATTTTATGGAATCTTGTGTACAGTTGCCAGCTTTTTTTTTTTTTTTTCCTTTTTTTTTCTAACTCAGAAATGAACTTTATCTCTTCTTGGGACAAACTATCAGCATCTATGTTAGTGATGTTTTATGAAATTTTGTTGCAGAGTATGGAGTAAGTTTTTGTATGTAAAATTGTGTTTTCCAGGAGAATGCATAGAAGGGCTGCGGGAAAACGACTACCTTCTGATTCATTCGTGCCGTCAGTGGACCACCATCACTGCCCATAGCCTGGAGGAGGGACACTATGTCATTGGGCCAAAGATAGAGATTCCAGTACATTATGCAGGTAAGACTTCTCTTAAGGCGCAAGGATGGGCAAAGAGAGGAAGGGTCTTGAATATCCAGTTTCCTCCACAGTGAGAAAATAGGAATTGTCTGTAAACTAGAGGATAGACTGATTTAGAAAAAGAAGAATCAAATACTTCGTGTAGTTACTTCATCTCTCAATGAAAGTGCAGACTCCTTTTGTCCTAAATATTTCTAATGCACACAATGAAATGCAGATTTTTGCAAGGTACTTTACAGATGAAAATGTTACAGTGAATTTAGCTGAACTCTTGGAATTCAAGTCAGTCGGTATAGACAGCATCTGAACCCCAGGTGTTCATGTCTCTGGGTAATACTGTACATAACTTAAGGCAGTGCTTTTGTGAATAACTGTGTAGTGATGAGTTTATGAGATGCCCAAAATATCATTTCACAGATGGGAGTGTTTTTTACAATACTGAGTTGCAAGATGGGATACCTGGACATGTCTTTTTTCAGTGAGGCATTTGAAGCAACAGGCAGCTGAGATAAGCTCACTGCCTTAGTTAAATTAGGGTGATAACTGCCTCTCACTTCACTCTGAGGTCCATTCCATTCAACAATGCCATTTAATTTTTATTGAGCACATTTCATGTACCAGCACTGTTCAGGGAACTTGGGATACATCTAGTGGTTTGAATAGACTTTGAATAATGGTAGCTTCTAAGTGCATTTTTTTATATAGCAAACTTATGTTAGCCTACAGTTTCTCCTGGTACTTACAGTTTATTATTTAAAGGATCTGACTTTTTCTCTATTATTAGTAAATGTTTTAAAATCTGTAGCCAGATATTTTAACCAACAACTCGTGAATTTTGAGCCCTAGACTGCCATTGTATTTTTGAGTGACCCCTGTGCAGTTTCAACTTGCCTGTTTGGAATTGGGATCTTGCTGTATTTTATTGTCTAGAACAGAAAGAAGAATCAGAAACTATCTAATGAATCTATGAGTGGTACCCATTTTGATTCCTAGGATCTTTCAATTACCAGTATGACTCAGGGGTCACTGAGCTTCTCAAAAATCCTTATTAAAAAAAAAAGTAAAAACTTTTCTCTGGCCTAAAATATTCTCCTCTAAAATTGTATTTCCTAGCCCTTGAGTATCCTTCATGGGAAAAAGAGAAAGATACAGGCAGAGAAATGATCGCACCTGTGAGGATGGGAGCCAGGCAAATGGGGGCAGTTTGCATGGCAGAGAACGGGACAGATCCTACAGTCTGCACGGTGTCTCTGAGTGGTTCCTGCACCTGGGGAGAGCTGCACAATGAGTATTTTTAGCAGATTCAAACTGTGGTTTCTGTCTTTGTGGGAAACTGAAAAGAAAGGCAAATTGCTACATTGCTTTGTCACATAACTGATTTTATTTCATCTGTATTCTTCTATTAGTAGGTTGAGTTTTAGTCTTTCCCCAAAAACCATGGTGAATAGTGCTCAAAAGATACTTTGATTTTGTCATTTGCTCACCCCCTTTTAGACACTCCACACCACCACTGGATTCTTTGCCTTGCTGTTTAAGGCCCTGCAGAGGCCAGCTCCAGCCTACTTTTCCAAATCTCCTCTCTAAAGAGTGAACCTTCAACTCTGGCCATATTAATCATCTCACTGTTTGCTGAGCACCTGGGATGCTTTTCCATTTCAATTATTCCCCCACCTGGAGTTGCCTCCCTCCACCATGCTGTATCTCAGAGGCTGTCACTGTGTTAGAAGGGGGTGCTGCTCCTCTGCTACCCCACATAGTCTTTGATGCATTTACTCTGTGTCATATTCACGTGGCACACATCTTAGTCTTCATTCAGTTACCTTTCCCTAGGTACACTCTTGTTTTACTTTTACATTGAACTGTATACTCCTTAATGTGTGAGACCAGTTGTCAAACACTCTTGTAAATCCTCTGGATCTGTACACAAAAGATACACTGTTTTATGGCTGTGGATGCTCCAACTTGGCTGCACCTGGGAGTCACTTGAGAACCTTTACAAATCACTGATTCCTGGGCCCTGCCTCCAGAGGTGCTGGACTCATTGGGCTGAAGTAGAGGCCAGGCATCAGAATTTTAAAAGATCCCCCATGGGTAAAATATGCAGCCAAGGTTGGGAACCCATTGTTCTGGAATGGGCATCTACAATGTCAGATGGTGCATATATTGGAATGCATATATTAGATATATTTCAGGATTTTGATCCTCTATGTGATTTGGTGTTAATAGCCATCCAGCTTCCACTAGGAAGAAAGATATGTTCAGTAGCTTATTCCTTATATGTAAGGAAGATGATCTTACACTTCATCGGGAAAGCAGGCATCTTTGAAAATGGTACTTTTTTAAATGAAATTGAAATGGCAAGACTGAAATGAAACAAGATCACGCCACTTGACTTGAGAGAAAACATGATAAAAAAAAAGGAAAACTTGAAATAGGACCCAAATTAGATAAAATAGAATGGAAAATAGTCCTGAGAGTCATTTTGCTTTTAAAGATTTATTTATTTACTTACTTGAAAGGTAGAATTACAGAGAGAGAGGGAGAGACAGAGATCTTCCATCCGCAGTCTGTCTCTCCAGATGGTCACAACGGTTGGGATTGGGCCAGGCTGAAGCCAGGAGCCAAAAGCCTCATCCTGGTCTCCTATGTGGGTCGCAGGGGCCCAAACACTTGGGCCATCTCCCATTGTTTTCCCAGACCATTAGCAGAGAGCTGTCTCGGAAGTGGAGCATCCGGGACAGAAACCAACACCCATATGGGATGCTAGTGTCACACACAGGCCCCTGAGAATCACTTTAAAATTTCTAGGTGGTCTTCCTGAATTGCTTCAGTAAGAGGCTTAGGGAGAAGTTTTGAGATACAGGTAGATATCATTGATCGTTTTGCTTTGGGTATTTATATCTCAGTATAATATGAACAAATTTGCTTTACAAAATTTATAAAGATGAATTTAGTAATTTACAGGTTTAAAAAAGGAACCTTTTTTTAGGCTAACAGGTAAACAAGAGGACAGTTCATTTTGATTCCAGTGTAATCTGAGGCTCATCAGATCTGACGGTAGTTTTGGAAGTTGTAGTGGGTTATATTTTGACATGATGAATGTATTTATAACCAGGTTCAGACTTTGGGAGAAAGAGAGCACAAAGAACATGGTGGAGACCAAATATATCTTTTTTATGTTTCTCTAGCTTATTTGTGCTCCATTTTTAATTAAAATAGAATAAGCCCTTATTTATGCATATATTACTAATTTGCCAGAATTTCTTCTAGGTTGAGTTTGATCTCTCAATCTTTATGGAACATTAATAAATAATTAATAATTAAATGAGTTTTATATTATAATAAAGCCCACCAGCTTTGTAAGAAAACAGCCTAGTTTGATTCTTGGTTCTTCCCTAACTGTATAAATTCCTGAGCAAGTGACTAAACTTCTGTAAATCTTTGTTTCTTCCTCTGTAAAGGGGAGGTAATTATAGTCCCCTTCTTCTAAGATAGTTGAGAGATTAAAATAGGTAAGGCAAGTGAAATACCTTTCACTGTGCCTACCACTTAATGAGTGCTCCATAAATGTTAATGGGATGATTATGATAATAATAGTAACAAAATGTTTCTAAGGGTTTAACTCTTTATCTTTTAATGATGATTACAGATTGGATTACTTAGCTGCTCATTAAAAGCCTGTTGAACACTAATACTCCTCAAAATTGTTTTGGGCACTGCTTTTTGTGGCTTGGCTTCCTGAAACTTTTTCATTTGATGTTAGAGTGGTATAATGTGCTCCCTTATACAGGTTACCCAGTGTTAGCAATTTTTGAATTTTTAAAATTTTTTTATTTATTTGAAAGGCAGAGAAAGAGAAAGACCCCGTCTGTTGGTTCACGCCCCAAATGCCAGCAACAGCTAGCACTGGCCAGGCTGAAGTAAGGAGCCAGAAACTCGAAGCCAGTCGCCCATGTGAGTGGCAGACACACAAGGACCTGAGTCATCACCCAATGCCTCCCGGGTTACACGATAGCAGGAAGCTGGAATGGAAAGTGGGGTCAGGCTTGAACAGTCGCTCCAGTATGGAATGTGGGTGCCCCATGAGGCAGCTTAACTGCTGGGCCAAACACCCCCCCACACTTTTATCCATTTTTATCGTCATTTGTTTGTTTTTATCATTCTTCCCCTTTCCCAGTTGCACATATAAATACTCGTATATATGAGTACACGTATTTTTGTTTGTAAATCATTTCAGAGGATACAACATATATGTGTATTTCCTGAGAACAAGGATTTCTTCTTATGTAACCACAATACTGTTAGCAAATTGAGGACATTTAATACTTTAATCTACAGTACATTTCCAGTTTTGCCAGTTGTCTCAATGATGTCCTTTATTGCATGTTTTTTTCCCCAGAACAACATCCAGTTTAGGACTACTGACTTTATTGCACTGTCATCTCTCTTTAGGTTCCTTTAGTCTAGAACAAGTTCCTAAGCCTTCCTGTGTTTAGGCATGTTTTTAAAAACACAGCCAGGTTGTTTTATAGAATAGCCCTTAATTTGGATTTCCCTAGCTCCTGCTGATTCGATTTAGGTCACACATTTTGCTGGCTCGCCATGTACGTGATGTGTCCTCTGGAATCACATCTGGAGGTAAGGGATGTCCCAATGCCTCTTATTGATGATACTCATTTTAATCATTTGGTTGGCTTCTTCTCTGATTTCTGTGCTAGTAATTACTATGGACTTGGTAATTCCTAGGAAATCAGAGAAGGGGTAATTAGAGACTCCACACCTCCTCCTGTCAATCTTCCTGCCCCTCACCCTTGGCCTGAGTAAGCAGCTGTTGATGATTTGTCTGATTGAGTTTTTGACTATGAAGGTGGCAGAAGGGTGCTTTTCTCACTTACCTCCATCATTCCCCTTATTACATGCAGCTTTTGTTCTGCTGTAAGAAGATGTATCCTTCTTGCCTGTGTGTTTATTGACTTCTCTTGTGGACTTGGGAATTCTGA